TTTTGAGTTCCATAGAAAAAAACTTAAGTCATACAGGTTTGTAACAACATGAGGATGAGTAAATAATGCCAGAATTTTCATTTCGGGGTAAACGATGCCTTTAACTACTTTCAATTATAAGTAGCTTATAGCTACATCTCCAATACTGGTCCAATTAAATGAAATCAATAGGTTAAAGTAGGAGCCATTGGCAATGTCTTGATCCAATCACACAGAGATTGTGGGTTTAAATCTCATTCATATCAAGATCAGGTCAGACCTCTCAAGAAACATGACTGGCAGCGTTTCAGCATGGTGTGCTAATCGTGGGTAGCCTCCTTTCCACCACCTCAGCTATTCCCATGGCAATGAGATGCCTGTGGGTTGCAGGCTAATACGATCATGTGGATCTCAGCATGTGTTAAAGTACTTTGTTGGCACCTGTAATCAATGGGCAAATAGCAAATAGCTGCCTTGATGCGTTTCGAAGCATACAAATTCTCTATGACAAGGACTTACTAGTTAATGGGCAACACGCTAGGCGTAAATCGTGGGGAAAAAGTATGTTTGGAAACTTCTGTCTTCACTCCTCCGCTCTCTCCTTCTCATATATATCACACCTCAGCCTGCGTCGCAGAACACTCAGCAAATCCGTTCATACGCAACTGTTGACAACTGCTGCTGAGAGGCATCTTAGTGTTCTCACTTCAGACAATGAATAGAACACAAATATTCACACAAAAGGCCTATGAACAACTCAGGCTAATTAACATACTAATGAGGCCTTTAAGCTAACGAATTTTGTGTGCTCATTAGAGAAAAAATTGGAGGCAGTCAGTCGTGTCTGCGAGTGTGTATACAAATGTATGTATTTTTGTCGTACACACTCACACCCGCAAATGACACTGTAAAGCCAAATACCACACAAATGCACAACAGCAAGTTTGCCGTCAGCAGCATTTCTGTTTTCCAAAGTTCTGGCTTTCACTGGCCTGGTGAAGAAAGAAGAAGAGCTACAAGTCTCTCAGGGTAACAGGAGACAGGGCGAATTAGAGACACCCACAAACATAAGCCTCCCCCCACCCTATTTTAAGAAATCCGCAGTTGGGGCAACACCTGATAGGGATATAAACAGAGTGTAGGAGAGTGTGGCAGGTAGCAGCTGTCCTGAATTAATCACATATCTCAGCAAATTCTCTTTACCTGTTCAGACCCCAAAAAACATGAGGAACTCACATCAGATGACTAACTCTACAATACCATATGTATCATAACTCATTTGACATAAATACAGCATTAGGGACCTAAAAACTGGTGGACCAAATCTGATGTGTAGGATGCTGGGATTTTGTGAGGGACATTCCGGTATGTACGTACATCCTCCGTTTAAATCACAAATGGAGGAGGAACCATCAACAAACTGATCATAAATGATTTTACGCCTCCCCGAGCGACATTTCTCCTTATAAATGTTCCACAGGGATTGGAGTAGTAAGGAATTTAACGATGCTGGTTAAGATTGTAATTCTATGAGTGTTTTTTATTACTTTTGAAGACAACAAAATAGACATAAGAATTATTCATATTTACTTCCATCAGCAGTCAAAAGATGAACATGATAAAAATAATAAATTGTGGTTCAGTAAATGACTCAAATTAATTCACTAAGGCTCCGAGTGATTTATGTGTTTTTGATTCACTAAGAGAACCGTCTCATAAGAGTCATTCGTTCGGGAATCGAACTAGATTGGCCGCACTGTATGTTTTGGATCACTAAAAAGAACCGACTCAAACGAGTAAATCGTTCGGGAATCGGTCTACATTGGCCGCGCAGTATGTTGTTGATTCACTCAAAAAGATCCGGCTCACAAGAGTCATTTGTTCGGGAATCGAACTATACTGATCACTAGATTCGGTGGTAGTGTTACCGCTGAATAGTAGTGCAGGAAACAGTCAAGAGTATTTTAGTACGGTGATCTGTACGCATTAGCGTATGAAGGCACGTTCGAAAACCGTTGACGGAAACGTCAGGAAATTTTTCGTTTAAAAAATGGAAACGGTTCTCGGTTCTCAGCCCAGATGATTCATATAAGTTTCTAAATCACCATAAACTAAATCCACATATTTTATCATAAAAATAAAGGCATAGAAATCATTATGGTTCTTTCTGTAATCACTACAATGACGAATTCAGCACTGCCAATGATTATTTTACGTTTGTGTGCCATTATGATGGAAATGATCCTGTGACGCAAATTTGGAGACATTCTCGCTCCACAGTAATTCCACATCGCACTGATCACATCCACTCCGAACAGCGCCTGCCGTTTACCGAGGCAAATTCGCTCCATTCCAACTACCCCTAAATAAAGCCGGTGGCGCCTCGAGCTGCACTAATTACCGCTGACTAACCAATAGCGACGTGCAAACGCACTGAACGGAAGGTACGTACCTGTGATTTAAGCAAATGAGGAATGCTTTCCTCCTAAATGTTTTTCGGCAATGCCAAATATTCCAGCCAGATCAGTTTCCTCTCGGTTAAGCGTGCAGCTGACTGCTCCTCGGTGGCAGAAATACCCCAGGGCCGCTTTCGCCCTCCTCACTCGTGCGCACACGCACACACGGACCGACTCCGGTGCCTGCCCATTTCCGGTGTTCCGGAGCGCCGTTGAAAAATGGAATCTTGGAATCCATGTGATCGGTTCTTCCGCGAGCCCCGAGCAACAGCGGCGAACAAACGCTCGCGCCCCCTCCTCTCTCCCTCTCCTCCATCCCTCTCTCTCTCTCTCTCTCTCTCTCTCTCTCTCTCTCTCTCTCTGTCCGTCTCACGTTATATCGCAGGAAACAAGTTGGTGCTCTCACAACCGAGCGGGCCTCGTTTCATTTCATGACCAAGCATCCCGATTCAGCACCAGTGCAACCGCTGCATCTGAACCCTTACATCCGTCAGCATCTGTGCATTTCTTCTGCATGCATTACAAACCTGCTTGCTTAATTAGGCTACCGCTTCATTTGATCATGCAGTTGAGAGACTGCGCGACTTGTCCTGCTCGTTTTTCCGTGCATCACGAGAGGGACAATTTTAAGATGGCAAATATTGAGAATTAAATTCACCTCTCTCTCCCCCCTTCAATCTCCGCCTTCCTTCTCCAGATTTCGCCTTGGAAACACACCCTCCGCCGAACACAAGCGGACACACGCGTCTACGTCATCGCATCAGCTGGGACCGATTAGATGCACCATAATTCATGTGCATGTAATATCACATCTGCGCGCGTGCCTTGAAACAATGTTTAAAATACCACGCATGACCATATGTGGAATAATTGCGTGGAGCAAGAGGTCAAAAATATTGAATTTGGTCTATAGAGAAGCCTTAAGTCTTTAATGCTGCATGCTGTCTAATGTTGTTCTTGAGCTTACATCTGTGCACCTACAATTACCCTCCACAAAATGTGTAATTTTATGATTTTATGATAGCGTGATCTAATTTAATATCACATTTCATGTTACTGATAGACTGATACATCAGAAAGGCCGAATAATGGAACATTATTGAACCATTTTGAGATTGTAGACTAGAAACTGCCAGATTGGACAAATAACAGAACTGGCCATCCATGAATAGAGTTTGTTCCTAAACTTACCAACAGCCATATCAGAGAACTGAAAAAGTGTTAAATTAGAAAGAAAGTGTACATTTATAATCATTAATTTTATGTAAATCTTATTTGTTATCATTAAAGGGATAGTTCAACCAAAAATGTAAATTCTGTCATCATTTACTCACCTTGATGTTGTTCCAAATCTGTATGATCGTCTTTTTTCCATGGAATATAAAGTTATTTTTTTTTAAAACACTGGGATCCAAACAACATTGTCTCTTTTGTGTTCCTCACAATAAATAAAGTCACAGATTTGGAACGATATTGGGACAGGCAAATTATGACAGAATTTACATTTTTGGGTTACCTTTTAAATTGCATTTTTATAGCCTTAATTCATACTACTCTCTAGATGTCATACCCTTGTCATATTGGGAACTATTTTCTGTGTATGTTATTCAAAAGAAAAAGTTATTTTCATAATATTTAATCAAAATGTAAAAATGTTCGCAACTGAAACATTTTTTCAGCCAACAACCAAACCCTTATTTTTCAAACATTTTCTTCCAAACCACCTGTCATAGAGAGAAAAATCAAGTCTTGTCTGATCTTTTTTCTCATTGACTATCCTATTTTGGGGGGGGGTGTCCGGGGAGTGAATTTCATTTTTAGTTGTACAAAACACCTCGGATGGATGGAGTCCAGGGAGTGAATTTTGAGGGGGACGGCATTTCATTTCCAACTGGTTAGGTTTATTTGGAAATTAAAGTGATTTCTATATTTTATCCATTCAAAAGACCACGAAAGCAATCCCACTTCTGCACATAAACCTAGCGCGATATATTTGTGTCCATGGTTCGCTGCGCAGTGCCGTCCGTTGTGATTTGGCCACAATACCTGCAGACTGCAGCCAATAGAAATGCCTCTATCGGAAATGCCTCCTCACAGCGCAGATCGTGAGAGCAGACTGCAGTTTTTGTCATTCATTATAACAAACAAAGTGCAGACGCGATGTAAATAATACTTTCAGTGTGCAGTGTAGAGAGCTTCATTAATTAAAATGGGAAGTTTGTGAGATTGCGATGAACTAAGACAAGTGACCGAATTTTAATGATTAGGCTATAAAGGGAGTTTGCCAATGTGAAATTTAAATTATACAACTGTTTTATACATTTTTGATTTTATACATAAGTTAATATTAAGCCCTGTTTGTTTATGAATGAATCTGCGTTGTTGAACAAATCTAGTGAGTCATAAAGGGAGTCACTTGCTTCGTTCCTAAATTAATCTTTGAACGAATCAGTTGAGTGAATGATTCAGTGATAAAGACAGTGACTTGTTGCCACCTACTGGCGGTTTCAGTTTCATTTAATATACACATAATAAAAATAATAATAATAATAATAATAATAATTTTTATTTATATAGCGCCTTTTCAACACCCAATGTCGCTTTACAAGTCGGTTTAATTGGAACAGAAACAAATAAACATCAATACCAGAGGACAGAACACATACCAAGAGCTAAAAATAATATACAGAGACCACTTACAAAGTTAGATTAAAGATACAAAGTATATAATTTAAAGTATAAACTAAGTCATTTAAATTGTTTAATATTTCTATATTCAAAACATTATATTTAAAACATTAATTTCATAACATTGTTATTATGAAATGCATTAATGCCACCTCTGAGTCTTGTCAAAAAGTCTGTATAATGCCACATTTGTGCTTTTCTGTGCCGTGCAAAGATGAATTGTCGATGCTGATTTCATTTGACTAGTAACTTATTCTTCCTGATTGTATGTTATTATTTTAACTGAATTTATTGTTTAATAAAAAAAATTTATAAAAGTTTATAAATCTAATTTTTTTGGCACAAAAGATGGCATACATTTAATAAAGTTAGAGGCATTACAAAGGTTTTTTTTTTTTTTTTACTTTAAGGAGTCAAATATTGACTTATGTTACCAGTTGCTTCCAAACCACTGGATCTTTGATGCTCAACTGGCTGCCTAATCTGAGTCTTATAATAATTTAAATGAAAGCAAACAGACCAAACAGACACAAACATTAACCAACTAACAAACCAGGGATTTGAACAAACCACTAACCTTAAATATTAAACAATGGCACGTAACTCAGTGTGTAAAGCCTCATTCACACTGACACCAATTCAATCTGTGAAGTTCGTTGCTAGTGCCATTCCTACTCCATATTCAACCAATTTAGATAACAGGGTTGTGGAAAAGTGTATCCTCACTCACCCCTCTGACTCCTCAAAACACTCTAGCATTGTGGTGGCGAGTCTTGCACAAGCAAACACTACTCAAATTTTCATCAACGGGCAGACTCTGGCGGACACTGTGCCCACAGCAGTCATGGAGAGGCTGATGCAGCGAGAGGCAGAGAACAGCAGACATAGACCTCAGCTGTCTGTCTTCTCCCGTGGTGTGGCAGGCAAAAAGTCCATCAGCTGACTCAGCACGTCAGTCGTCTTACCTACTGGGGACAACACCTATAGTAGCCAGCTCTAATGCACATTGATGGGAAATTAACACACAGACACACACAACAAATGAAGGGACATTAATCTCTTCTGTCATCTTTAACAGAGGTCAAACTGTGTGTGTATCCTCTGACTCCTCAAAACCACAGCTGCTCCAAAGCCAAGACTATCTAGAACATCCTACATACACACACATTCCCATGTTTTATGATTTTTATACTGTACAAGCTGTATTTTCTATCCCCTACACTCACAGAAAACTTTCTGCTATTTTAGATTTTTTTTTTCTTTCTTTTTTCTGTATGATTCTGTATGATTTATAAGCTGTTTTCCTCATGGGGACCAAAAAATGTCCCCACGAGTTCAAATATTTCTGGTATTACTATCCTTGTTGGGATATTTGGTCTCAATGTAGTAATACCAGGTACACACACACACTACAGGCATGCAGCAAGGCTTAAGGCTTATAGATAAGTTGGACAATCAGTGCTTTAGAAGTGTAAATACATTTAGGAATGTATTTAATACCAAGGAATGAAAATAGTTAACAGGAGACATTTTTCCATACCTTTCTTAATGTGTTATCGCTGTTTATGAAAACTAAAGCGAAATCTAAATGCAAACATTCATAATCTGAAATGAAAATAACATATACAAAATTATCAGAAAATTCTGAAAAACTGAAACTAAACTAAAATACATTTTATGACACTAAAATTAACTTAAATTTAAATTTAAAAAAAATGACCGATAATTAATTATTTTAATTAATTGTATAATTAATTAATAGTTTTTGAAGAATGGTAAAACTTGAAACCTACACAAACCGCCTGCATTAAGCATTAAAATGTCACTAGACAGCAATTACACTAGAATGTGAGCAATTAACAAACATTTTTAAAATGATACCTGCACATTATACTTTGCACATTATCTTTAGCAGCTAAAGATAACTTTAAATAACATATTTAAAATAAAAATGAAAACAAATTTAACTGAATATAGAAAATTCAGGGGAAAAAAAGAATAATGTCAGAACTAATAAAAACTAAACTCAAACAGAAAAGACCAATTTTAAATAAAATAGAAATACAAACATTACTGTTGAAAAGTTTGGGGTAAGATTTTTTATAAGGAAATTAATATTTTTATTGAGTAAGAATGCATTAAATTGCTCTTCTTTTGAACTTTCTATTCATCAAAGAATTCTGGGGAAAATGCATCATGATTTACACATAATATTGAGCAGCACAACTGTTTTCAGCACTGATAATAAGAAATGTTGCTTGAGCATCAAATCAGCATATTTCTGAAGAATTTCTGAAGGATCGTGACACCGAAGACTGGAGTAATGGCTGCTGAAAATTCAGCTTTGCAATCACAGGAATAACATTTTAAAATACATAAGAATACAAAAAAAGTTATTTAAAATTGTAATAATAATGTGTATTTGTGACGTAACATCACCACAGTATTGTATATCTGTGTAGTGATGCCACAGAGTAAAGGGACAG